CAGACCCTAAAACAACCTAAAAATCACTTTTTCTAACATTGTTTTCTTTAATCAAAACGTGTTTTGGGAATGAAAAACGTGTTCTAGGCCAATAAAACTGAGTTTTCACTCAGTTTTTCTGCAGAGAGGACATTGGGAAAAAGAAAAAATGAGGGTGGAGAGCAAACACCAATTGGGAAGGCCTTCATGGCCTAGAAGACCCCAAACAATGGGGATTTGGAGGATTTGTGCATCGACATAGAAGATTTGAAGATTTTCTTCATCCCCACTATTTGGATTTGCTTCTCAAACCTTTATCTCTTTTTCTTTTGATGTTTTCTTTGATTTTAATGATGATTTGGGTTGCTTTGACCTTGTTTTAAGGATTGAGTGTGAACCCATTTGGAGATTTGATGGATTTAATTTTATTGTGTTTAATGCTTCTCTTACTTACCAATTTGCCATGGAAATGACCTTAGATGTATGTTAGAGATGATTCCAAATGGAAATTGATGTTGGGTGATTCTTCATTTGCTCTTAATGCTTGTTAATCTTGATAATCACTAATGGAAATTGGGATTTGTTTAGATTTGACATGAAATTTGGATTGGAAATCATTGAGTTCATGGCTTCCTTTTTATGTTCTTGAATGATCACCTAGAGCATGATTAAGATTCTAATGAACTCATAAATATATCTAGTGTAGGTTTTGGGCTTATGCTTCTTTGAATCATTTCCTTGATTGATCACCTAGGATTTGTGATAGGATTTAAACAGACTCATGCCTTTAATTCATTGTGCTTAACAAGATTTGTGTTCTCTTTGGTATTGGTTTCGTGATATGTTCATAATGCTTGTTTGGGACTCATGACCTCAAGCATGTTATGTTGGGTGTTGCATTGCATAGGGATATGGATGTTCACTTAGAGCCAAGATCATTGATTAGGGGGTTTGAAGCCAATCGAAAGATTATGGAATGAATCTCTCTAGGAACACGATTTAGGCCTCATTCTTAATGTTCCTTATGAACTCTTAGTACCAAGTGGAAGCTTAGGTTTCTAAGTTTCGTTAGGTTAGCTTAGCTAGATCACGGAAGTGGGTAGTTAGAACATTAGATGTCTAAGTTCCTCATTATGCATAGAGCACTACACAATTCTCATCCTTAGAACACTAGAGAATATTTCCCATATTATCCTAATTATCTATATGTGTGGTTACACTTAATTCCTAGAACCCGAAAATATTTATCCCCTTTGTTTTTGTCCACTATCATTAGGATTTATCTTAGTTTAGAATTAATTTAGCTTGGATACCATTACACCGATCTTCGTTTAGGCTTAGCTCATCGTAGGCATAGTCTAAGCTCTAGTGTTAAATACGTCTTCCCTTGGGTTTGACCTCTAAGTACTTCATTGACAGAACCGTGCACTTGCGGTCACTTAGAGCTTTATAAATGTAAAGCTTATGAATCGAGTTATGGCTTCTCTCATTAGAAAGTGAAATTCGGATGCATCAAGTCGCTGTTTTTTCCAGCGATGCCGGTGACCCCAACGACATTCATAAAAGTTTCGTTTCATTTTTAGTCGCCGGAAGTTACCGCAACGATTCGGTGCCGAACATGATCAAAACCAGAAAGAAAATCAAATAGAAATGGAAGTTGTTGCTTCATATTCTTGATTAAGTTTGTAGACTGAATCCTATTAAATGTGATATTCATAAGATCAGTAGAGTAGATGTCCAAAAGCAAATCATTATTAGATGACGAATCTACAAGCTCGAGCTTGCTCGAGAGGTTGTCAAAATTAGTCCCAAGTTTCTAAAACCGAGCAAAGACATGAGAAGAAACATTATAAATTCCTAGTTTCTAAACTCAACAAAACTTTCGAAACATTGTGGTTTATTAAGCCAGAGAGGCAAGACGTCACTTTTGCGCTTGGTGGTTTGTTATTCGTTATAGCCTCTCTTTTAATTGGAGTCAGATTTCTCCATAGCTGCAAGAGAAAAGTATTTGAATAGAATAAGCAATTTAACAGAAAAGGATAAAGCAGAGCATGCAAGGCAAAATAACCGAGTATTATATACTTATATTGGAGATATTACTGTTGTAGTTTAGAAGCTTTTCGATTAGATCGACATGAGTCATAAGCATACGCCTGCAACAGTAACGGACTAACCCAAGAAAATCAAGAGCGTCCCTGCAGATTCCAAATCGCAACTCAAAAAACACAATTCGTACATATCAAATCACGTAACCAAGCCAAGATGCAATCTCTTTGACTATAAAAGCATCATATTAGAGGACTAGTGTTGCTAGTTTCGTACTTGACTTTTATGTCAAAATTTGGACACAAAAGACGGCTCTCTATTTCGGTTTTTTTCACACAAAAGCATCAAAAATTGCGTACCCTTCAGAGTAATCAGCCTGGAGAAGGTCAAGGTACGTGTCCCATTTGTTCCCAATAACCTAAGAATCCATCAATCTCAAAATGTAAACAAAATTCTAAATGATCTAAAAACAGAGATTTATTTTTTCTCTATCTAATCACATTCAGGTTTCTGATTACCAAAATCAGAATTATTAATCAATTCAGAAACAACAACAAAAATTCCCTTGTTCTTTCTCAAATATATATAAACCCTAAATCAACCTTTCCACAAGTCAAGCAACGAACTGGGATGATCATCGTCCACCAAGCAAAAGTGAGTTTAAGTTTCTCACAAATTATCTTGTGTGTGTCGGTTAAAACGGCACCGTATTAACTAAATCAGATTACTGTAAATTAGTTTTTAATTAAAAAGAACTTATTTATTTATTTCTGAAAGAAAAATAAAGAGAGAGACTGGTCTTTCTTCTTCGTTTTTTCTTTTCTAGCTCGACGACCATTTTTAGCTTTCCGGGAAAATCAAAGGCGGAGGAGGAAGATGTTGGAGAAGATCGGATTACCAGCGAAGCCTTCATTAAGAGGAAATAGTTGGGTCGTTGATGCTTCTCATTGTCAAGGATGTTCTTCTCAATTTACTTTCATCAATCGCAAGGTCTCTCTCTCTCTCTTTACTCTTCGTTTCGATCGATTGATACTTCTGATTTTCTGAGTTTCTTCGTTGAATAATAGCTTCGTTATATCAGTCGATTGTATGGACCGACTCTTCTGGATCTCTAATTTTGAATGAAATTTAGGATCTGTTTATCGGATAAATCTCAGTGTATGATCGGTTTCTGGTAATGGATTCAGTCATATTTTGAGTTATTGAATCCCTTAAATCAACATCTGAAGCTAGAAAACATGAATTTGGTGAACTTGTGTATTACCAGATTTGTTGTGACTTGTTGGATTCTTGAAAACTTTATCATTTACCTTTTGTCTTTGATCTGGGATTGTGTTTGTTTTGCAGCATCATTGCCGGAGATGTGGAGGATTGTTCTGTGGTAGCTGCACTCAGCAGAGAATGTCCTTACGTGGACAAGGTGACACACCTGTGCGTATTTGTGAACCATGTAAGAAACTTGAAGAAGCTGCTCGGTTTGAGTTGCGTCAGGGTTACAAAAGTAGAGCTGCAAAAGGTACCAATGAAACTTGTGTTACATTGGTTTTGGTTTGAATAGAATGACATTTTTTTGCTTAGCCCATCAAGTTTTGATATAGCTAGGTTGTGATTTTTTAGCAGGTGGCTCTAAAAAGACCATAAAGAACGAAGATGATGTACTCAGTGAGATTCTGGGATCTGATGCTGATGTATCTTCTTCATCAGAATCAGTGTCTAGTACAGACAGGGTTACATCTAAAGAAATGGCAAGCAGCAGTAGTAACAAAGATATGGAGTTGGATGTTGTGTCATTTTGTCCTGAAGAATTGCGTAAACAAGCAGTAGAAGAGAAAAATAAGTACAGAGTCCTTAAAGGCAAAGGGAAATCGGAAGAAGCTCTAAAAGCCTTTAAGAGAGGGAAGGAACTCGAGAGACGGGCTGACACACTAGAGATATCTTTAAGAAAGGACCAGAAAAGGGCAGTGTCCATGCGAAATGTTGCTGAGACGCAGAACAAGGCTGCTACAAAAGAATCTAGCAAATCGCAAAAGCCTCCACGTCAAGGGGGTAAAGGAAATGATGATTTGACAGCTGAGCTGAGGGAGCTAGGATGGTCTGATGATGAAGATAAAAAACCCGCTAGTGTAAGTTTGGAGGGCGAGTTTTCGTCTCTTCTCCGCGAAATTCCCGTAAAGACTAACCCACAGAAGAGTGAAGGAATTGACAAGAGTCAAGTTATTGCCATTAAGAGAAAAGCACTTGCGCTAAAACGTGAAGGAAAACTTGCAGAAGCTAAAGAAGAACTAAAAAGAGCTAAAATTTTGGAACGGGAACTTGAAGAGCAAGAACTTTTGGGCGGGGCTGATGAATCAGATGATGAGCTATCTGCACTTATCAATAGTATGGATGATGACAAAGAAGATGATCTGTTAGCTCAGTATGAAGGGAGCCATGATTTTGACATTAGTAACCTTGTGGGAACTGTAGATGATATTGGAGTTCATGGTGAATATGATGTCACAGATGAAGATATGGAGGATCCAGCAATTGCTGCTGCATTGAAATCTTTGGGCTGGACTGAAGATCCTGGACAACATGAGAATGTCCACCCTCAGTCTTCTTCTAACTCTAGAGAAGAACGTTTAGCTGAAATTCAGACATTGAAAAGAGAGGCTCTTAATCTAAAACGAGCTGGAAATGTTGCAGAGGCCATGGCTACACTAAAGAAGGCAAAATTACTTGAGAGGGAACTAGAGTCTGCTGATACATCCTCACAAACTGGTGATACGACCATGGAAGAGAAGGACGTGAGCACGAAACCTCCTCCCAGAAGCAGGCTGGTGATTCAGAGAGAGCTTCTTGCAGTGAAAAAGAAAGCTCTTACTTTGAAAAGGGAAGGAAAGTTTAATGAAGCAGAAGAAGAACTGAAGAAAGGAGCGGTTCTCCAAGATCAGCTTGAAGAGCTGGACAATTCGTCAAAGCTAGCTGCAGCAGGAAAGGCTAGTCGTGAAAAAAGAGATGTTGGAAATGATCTGCCTGATATTTCTACAAATTCTATGGATGTTGATGGAGAGGTAGATGTAAAAGATGAAGAGCTAAATGATCCGAATTACCTCTCGATGCTAAAGAACTTAGGCTGGAATGATGAAGATAATAGTCCTGCAGGTTCTTCACCAGCAAAACCTGAGCGAGTTAGTTCAAAACCAGGGAAAATAACAGAAACTCAAGATGCATATGAAATTCGTGTTACGAAACCAAGAAGAAGTAAAGCTGAAATACAACGCGAACTCTTAGGGCTGAAAAGAAAGGCTCTAACTTTGCGGCGGCAGGGCAATGTTGATGAAGCGGATGAAGTTCTAAACCAGACAAAAATATTGGAAGCACAGATGATGGAGATTGATTCAGGCAAGAATCTTCATGCTCACGGTGATCAGCTAAACAAAATATCTACTGATAGTGGAATCAATAAAGAAGATGATAGCGTTACAGAAAATGATATGAAGGACCCAGCGTTATTGTCAACTCTTAAGAATTTGGGATGGGAGGATAAGCCTAAAGCTTTTGGCGGTGAGGAGATGAAAGACTCAGCTTCGGCGATCAACTCTACAAGCTACATGGACGTTGATTTATTAGTTGGGTCTCAAATGGAGGACAAAGCAGTCAAATCTGCTAGTGTTTCTCATGCTGCTCAAGGTAGTTATGACTTGTTAGGAGACTTTATCTCCCCTGCTAAATCTGGTTCCTTTAGCACACATGGGATGACTAAGAGTGGAGTTGTTTCTCAGTCGGGCCAACAGCAACTAAGTATGATGGATTTGCTGACTGGTGAGCATTCTGTAAGGTCTCAAACTCCTGTAGAAAAAGGAAGAGTTGAGACTAAGTCAGAATTTGGATCGGGAAATAGTCACGGCACCACCGAACAAACTGTTGCACGTGAAGAGTCAAAGCCCGGATATGTTCAATCAGCTTCTGTTCAAAACACATCTCCTGAGAACAGCCTTAAACAAGAAATTCTAGCTCATAAGAGAAAGGCGCTTGCCTTTAAGAAAGAAGGAAAAATAAGTGAAGCGAAAGAGGCATTACTAGAAGCAAAATTGTTGGAGAGGAGACAACAAGAAGGAGAAAATCATTCTCCTGAAAATCTAAAACGAGATGATACGGTTTCTGTACCGCATCCTCCTGCTAAAGAGAAAGAAAATAGTCCTTCAACTTCAGCTCCAAAGGCAATGTCTAGTCGTGACCGTTTTAAGCTGCAGCAAGAATCACTAAACCACAAACGTCAAGCCATGAAGCTTCGGAGGGAAGGTAAAATGGAAGAAGCAGAAGCTGAGTTGGAAATCGCCAAAACTCTTGAAGCTCAGTTAGAGGATGCAACATCATCCTCTAAATCAGAACAAATGGATGATGTAGCAGTGGAAGATTTTCTCGATCCTCAACTCATGGCTGCCCTCAAAGCTATTGGACTGGACAGTTCTGTGAAACCATCGGTTAGTACAACAGACACAGCACAACCTACTGGAAAACCAGTGCGTGAAGCTGTGCAGCCGAATCCAGACAGCGAGAGTGATAATAATAATCAAGAGAGAAGTGAATTGGGGGAGCGGATAAAAGCAGAGAAGATAAAAGCTGTAACCCTGAAACGTGCAGGGAAACAAGCCGAGGCATTAGATGCTCTTCGACGGGCAAAACTGTATGAAAAGAAACTAAACGCTCTTGTTTCAAATTGATTCAACTCTCCACATAAATTGGATATTTGTAACATAACCTTAATGTTACTTGAGTGTTATCAGATTGGTGAAGTAATTCAGACTCGAAAGTTTTTTCAATAACCATATTTGTTGATGGAAATGAACAAAAAGGCTCGTATGCATTTGAAATCAGAGCTTCTCATTTGCTTCATGTTTCCATGAAAAAAAGAGCTCCCCTTGCTCGGGGAGCACACTGTCTCTGGCTAGGATCACATCATTCGATCATGTATCACCATCAATCATATCACATCTAAGAACAGGTCTGGTATCTCTATTTGAAAATCTGTTTTAAGGTCTTTTTACTCACTTGGTTTGGCCATTTCTTCAATTCAATACAAAAGTGTGAGGAAACTTGAGTTCTTGTTGTGCATGGATTCCCGGAAAGTAAGGGAAACTGATGGGTTTAAGAAACCACAAATGTAGTATCTAGACGAATACGACCACGACTAAACTGGTGCTGATTGCTATATCATTTGGCGTTTTGCGGCTGATAGTATCGCTCATAGTATTCCATTATAAGAAAAAACAAATCTTGCCTGCTATGTAAGATTGTTGTGAATAATTGTAAGAGAGAATCCGAAAAAATACAAGGTAATAATATTGACTAGCAGTAATCTCGTTCAAAAGGAGATGATACAAGAAAGCAAATTAATAGTCTCTTTCTTTCCTTTTGCTCCCTTGATTGATTTGTAGTTGCACTAAACTTGGAACATAAGAAGAGAAGAAAAGTGGGTTATAGTCTCCAGATTTAGATGTCCAGCGATTCGGAGGTTCTCCGAGTTCCACAGATTTGACATATCCACATTCTCCGAGTTCTCCTAGTGAGTTCGATTTTCAAAAAACTGTTCAAAGATACCGCATTGGGCTCAATATCATTTGTAATCCAAATCTCTATTACTGAATTGTAGCGTTGATATAAGAGAGCGAGGTGCTCATATCTGACACAAAACAGAGTCACGTGTTGTTCTAAACACATATGGTAAGAGTGAAAGGGCAAAGGAAGGCGCAGTCCAAATCTCTGTGATGTAAAATCGAAACAGAGTAAAAAAACTTCATATGACCAGTTCTCTTTTACTTTTTTACCAGTAAAAAAGTAAGTTTTTCTTTTCAAAGACACGCCGCTTTGTATAATACCGTCGGGATTGACATCAAGAACCCTCCATGAATTAGAGTCAAAATCGTAAGATTTCGAAGAAGAAAGGGATGGTTGAGCTCTTACAACCCTTGTAAAACCTCAAAATCTCGTGGTTGCGGTTCTTGTCGTATAACAGACCAAACATGTCTGATGTTTGGAATTTGTGGGATTCGTGTATGGATTCATATCAAAGTTAAAACAGACTTGAAAAACTACGAGTAGAGAAAGACCGTTAAGAAAAAAAAAAGAATAATAAATATTGGAATAAGAATAATGACAAAACAAATACGAAAACGACTCCAAACGAAGAAGTCGAAGAAAAACAAAGAAACCAAAAAAAAAATAGTGATTTCGGCCGCAAGTAATAACTTTTTTAAAAACAAAATAATAAGAAGAACGATAACTAAACCAAAGAGGAGTGCTCAAACAAGAAAAAAGAATAATATAAAGAGAGACTAAAAAAGACAAAACAGTTCAGATAATACAAAGACGATGAAGAAACAAAATAAATGGAAAAAAGAAAAAAAAAGAGAAGACAAAGACCATAAAAAAAATTAAAATAAAAAAAAATAAGAAAAAAATAGATGAAACCGAAAGAAATAACAAAGACGAAGTCGGAGAAGAACGAAAAAATCTAGCGATTTTTTTTTGATGCAAGTAACAATTTTAGAATAAAACAAGAGAATGAATAGAAGAACAAAAAAGAAGTATAACAAAGAAGAAATTAGAGAGAAGTGCGAAGATAAATAAAAATCGGAAGAAGAAAATGAAAAATAAGAAATCATCAAAGACAAAAAAAAATGATGAAAAAAAAATGAAATATCAAAAATGAAAAAATAGAAACTAAGAAGAATAAAAAAAATGTAGATAATTTACTACAATTAAAAGACTTTTTACAAATGTCAAACACAAAA